TATAATCTCATATACATACCCAGTAAGCAAATTGAGCGCAGACTGCGCGCAGATTGGCAGCAAATTTGATCAAAAACCCACAGCAAAACCATAGCCATCTGTGTCTACATTAGTCTACGGTTTTGGCAACAAATCTTGCTCTCGGGCAATTGGTGCCAAATTTACAGACAAAGCCGTGCAAAGCTTGCAGCGCAGCAAGATCTGCGCGGTTTTTGCTGCCAATCTGCCGTCAAATTGCTACAAGCTCTGCGCGGTTTTTGCTGCAAATCTGCAGCAATTATTCGACAACAAGCTCTGCCGCATATCTAGCGGCAATTTGGCAGCAAGATTTGATATAACAGATCCTGCATCAAATTTGTTATCTATTTGCCATCAAAAGTTGATAGCAAGCTCTGCTCGAAATCTGTTCGCGCAGGTTTGGCTATCTAGATAATTATTAAACGAATTTTAATACGGCTAAATGTTCTCATGCTCCTTTATTCTCTCCCATTCTCTGTTATTTTCTCTAATTCTCCTTTATTCTCTCTCATTCTTTACTATTCTCTTCTATTCTCATTCTCTCTCGTTATAACCCTGTTCTCGTAATATGCACGAACTGTCACTCGACTCCGCCACGATGACAGCCCGGCACGACACGAAGCCGGCCGCAACGCACAGCCAATCGGTATCTCGGAAAAGAGGCAACAATGCCAGCGATAACATCGATAAACAAGCAACTTCGAAATGTGACATCTCCTTTTTACTATTTGGAAAAGACTAGGACGCAGCGCGCGCCTTCTATCTCCTTTCTTAATATTTCATTACTTTAATTACGTCAAAAACTTACACACAAACCTATAATCTGCATTGTCTCTCCCAGTCTCTCCCTGTCTCTCCCTGCCTCTCTCTATCTTCCCTGTCTTTTCCTGTTTCTCCCTATTTCTCACACACAAACCTGTAATCTGCATTCACATTCGAATACAATCATGGACATAGTATACATGGATCCCGCAAACGGCCAGAAAAGTAAAGCCAACATGTAGAAAGAGACCATAGACATAATATACATAGTCTCATATATATAATTATTAAACGAATTTTAATACGGCTAAATGTTTTCATGCTCCTTTATTCTCTCTCATTCTCTACTATTCTCTCCTATTCTTATTCTCCCTCGTGAACACCTTACATTAATTGCACAATTAAGGATAACCTTAAACTTGTAAATGGAATGTTTTTGCATAAGTTATACTATATACTTTAAAAATATTATATATGTTTTATGGATAAAGACTTTCTATAACTTTATACAATATTTAATAAAAGTTTTATTAAAGAAGGGAAAGGATTACCTTTGATAAATACACACATCGCATGTTCCTTCTTGATGGAAGTTACCGGAAAGAGATCGGAAGCATAGATGGGCATTCTAGTTTTAGTCTGCTAAATATGTTAAAGATATCTTTCAAAATAACTTTTATATGTCTATAAATATCTTTTAGAAATTCTACAAAGATATCTTGAAAGATATCTTTTAAAAGAGATCATTTAGATATATTTAATATATCTATTACAAATGTGTTAAAGATATCTTTCAAGATATTTTCCAGATATCTATAGACATCTTTAAGAAATTCTTTAAAGATATCTTCAATTAATTCTATTTAGATATCTTTTACACAGCTTTTAGATATTTTTTAGAAATGTCTTGAAGATATCTTTCGTAAGATATCTTTTAGACATCTACAAGATGTCGACGTTTTCTGGGAAGAAGTTGCCACTTGCAATCGCAAGAGTGAATGTTTCATTTAATTTTTGAGTAATCTTCTAAAGTAATTGTTTCGCTACAAAGTTATATTAAGAAATGATTAATATAAGTCCTACAAATCTCTGTGCTAAATGTTTATGAATATGACTTATGATAAATAGTTTTGACACAACAGTTTTGTAGAAAGAGAATATCAATTAGACTTAAGGTTTAAAACCTATAAAGAAATAATCATTTGTTTGCGCTATTAATACTTTTGGCTGGAATGGTATTAGAAGTATATATTTGTAAATATATCATATGTGCCGATAACGCAACAATGCACGCTAGTAGAAAAATAATCGTGACATTGGAGTTTTTAAAAATATATTATCATATTTTTACATGTACAGGGTGTTCGGTAACTCACGGAGGAGCCGCAATATACAATAAATTAAGTTAAACTGAACAAAATTCCTCTATTATTTTGTGAATAACCACGTAAAATTTTGAATTATTAATCCAAAAAGATTTATAAATAATCACGTGTCATACGGTAGATGAGCTGTGATGGCTCATCAGCTGTATATGCTTGTATATTAGAGCAAACCGATCAAAAAAGTCCTTTACCATTTTCCATATGATTATGTAGTTTAGTTATTAATTAAAAAAGATTGATGCATTATCGCGCACCAATCTTTTAGCTGTATATTAATATGCTTTTTTCATGCTAGTTAGAGTGTCCATCAGATTTGCATTTTAATTTTAAATGAAAATATTCACTCGACCATTCCGAGTGGAAAATTCACATTCTGTAAATGAAAAACCATTTGAATTTGTCACTCCACTTTTCGAGTGAAATTTCACTCGAAGAAATTTATGGAATACAATACACGATTGCAACATTTGTCAAATCAAGGTTGTATATACGAATTATATACATCGGAGACTCTCGACCTGAGTGGCACCTATTATTTGCGCTGTAATGCCGTCTGCGTGCTGTAATTTATTTACTCTAGATAACGTGTCATCGCGCGTCTATTGAAACGTCTTGTCACTTCCTTCTGCAGCTATTCATAATATTTCATCACCTTTTACCGCCGCTCTTTCGAAACATATAATACGAATGCGCATGTCGATGATGGTTAATTGACGTACGCTTCGAGAATGCTATTGATCGTTCTATCAAAGGTGAATAGTGCACTGACATTTTTGTCGTCGGAAAACGATCAGGTGATCCAATTGGTCGAGGAATCTGTATGCGTTAAAAGTGCACTCAATAGTGCACCGGCATGTTTGACGAGAAATACGAGTTCGAGCGCGATATTGAAATAGAAATAAAACAAATATCGGCCCACGTGCACGGTCGAATAATGAATGCATTTTTGTTACCTGTCAAAACCAGCAATAAAAATGGCGTATTTAATTACACAGGTATACATACACGTTTATACATATACAAATATACATACACAGTTCACGCTTAAGATTTATCCGTATAGACTTTGTACAAAATAACTGAAAATGAAAATATCTGCTAATATTTCTATTTTCGTATAAAAACGTATACAATATAGTTAAATAAAAACATATTTTTACATTTTTATAAAATTATATTTTTATAGTTTATTTATTTCATTTTATATTTCTGACTTTTAAATTCTGCTTGAAAAATCTGCTAATATTTCTATTTTCGTATAAAAATGTATACAATATAGTTAAATAAAAACTCATTTTTACATTATAAAATCACATTTTTATAGTTCATTTATTCCATTTTATATTTTTGACTTTTAAATTCTTATCATTGAACTACAATAAAACTTTATATATATATATATATATATATATATATATATATATATATATATACACATCATTTTGTATACTTAAAAAGTACATTTATATAAAATTGAGATTTTTGTCATTACTTTTTAATTATCGTTTCCTTTATTAAAGGTAGCAATGTTATTTATTTCCATAACAGCTCGGGTTAAAATACTTCCAAATAGCAGACTGTTTTCAAAGGACGTATTGCTGACATTAGAGATGTCATTAGAGCGATGTTAAAACATCATTTGATGTCATCTTGTTTGCTGAGTTTATTTTAAATTGAAATAACTTTTAATCCAGACTCTGCCATAATCTAATATTGTTAAATTGTTTATGATTTTTTAGATGCGATATAGATTAATCTCTAATTTTTTTATTTTTGAAATATAGGTAATGAACTTTTAATTAAATAAACTAGCACATATTTAGATATTTAATGTATAATTATTACACATTTAATGTATAATTGTATATATATATGTATATATATATATATATATATATATATATATATTTACATACTTATTAGAGAGAGAGAGGGGGAGAGAGAGAGAGAGAGAGAGAGAGAGAGAGAGAGAGAGAGAGAGAGAGAGAGAGAGTGTTATATATATATATAATAATTATAACAAGTAAGTAACATTGTAAGTTATTAGTTATTATATTTATATCTAAAATTCTGTATTAGGCTACAAATAAATAAAATAAAATAAATTTAAATATAGACTATATCTAGAAATAAATAAAAAGCCAGAGCTAATGCTTTTAAAGCCAGAGTTATTAAATTAAATATTTAACTAAATATTAAACAAATTTATTCATGTACACTCGCGCAATTTCTAAATAGTTTGTACACTTTTTATCGATTGAATTTACAATGCTTCAAGTTTACTTTAAAAGTTGCAAGCTGTTGCTGACATATATGCAATGATCGATTATAAATATGTGAAAGTTGATATGTGTGCACAATAATCGATTATAAACATATGAAAGTTACTTCTTAAAATAATGTTCTCTTAGGGGCGGTTTTTCAATGATAGTTTAAACTTAGATTTCAACTTAAACTCTGTTTAAATAAAACAAACGCATTGTTAGAATAGAACTTGAATTCAAGTTTAAACTGCTATTGAAAAAACGGCCCTTATTTTTCAATATTATTCAATATATTTCAATATTTTTCAATATATATTCTTTCCCTTCAAATTTCACAAATGTCACACTCTGTACTGTCACTTTGGATCCCGTTATAACTGATTACTGTACATACACGTCAGCAGTGTACGTCAGCACTCAATTCTGACTACTTGAAGCGTTGTAACTTCATAAAAGTGTGTACATCGTTTAGCTACCGAGTGTACAGTAATAAGCACAAGTTAACCTGTTTAATTATACATCTACTTTTCTGCATAATGGAGCATGTGGCATCTTTTATTTATTTTTCCAGATATCAAACGATGCTATGTCCAATATTTTGACTTACGAGATGGAAGCGAAGACTTTACTCGACCCACCTCGCGAACATTACCGACCGATTACAGGTGAGTAGACGGAGTAATAATATTTATTTTTGTGGTATTTTTTTTGCGCTTGTAAAAACGAGCACAATCGATACTTTCACTTCTGTCGGCTCGTGTTGCCAACGTTCGATAAGTGATTACTCATGTAATTAAAAGTAGCTGTGGCTTGCAGGTGAAATGAACCGCACGGAAAGGGTTGTTTAGTATCCATTACAGGAAGGTTTACGCGACGCCTGTTTTTTCTCCCTTTTCCGATAATCGCCTGGAAGTAATTTGCGCGTACAGAATAACCGCATCTCCCATCCTTTTTTATCCCGGTCAGAGACAATTTTTCGCAAGTGACCGTCAGTTGTAAAAATATTTTTCAGGCTATATCTTTTTTATTATACTAATAAAGAAAAACCAAATTTATACGTGACATTAAGTGATTCTTTAGTTTTAATCTTATAAGAACTAATATCATATGAAATTCAAAATATCAAAAAAGTTATTTGAACAAAAAGACAATAAGAAATTATCTTAACAATCGACACCAACGTGCTATCAATTGTAACAATGTAGAGTATCAATTGCAATATTTTTTTTAACTCTCGACAATCAATCAAAACAACATAATTAAAATTAAAAAAGCAGCAATATTATATTAAAAATTGTGAAAAAATAAAACATTAAAAGTTCTGTCAGACAAACAATGAAAACAAATATAAAATGGGTTATCATCTACGCAGATGTAATAAATTTATTTCTTGTATTCAGTATACTGTAACCGTTTTTTTAATTTTGTTCATATCTTTCACAACATGTATCAATATTTCATTTTCGTCAATGCCTTTTTCGATTTTTCTAAATGTTTTTGCAGAACTTGTTCGAATTCTTTTCCTTGCTTTCTGGATTTTCGTCTTTTTAGCCTATAAATATTTAGTCTCTAAATACTTAGTAATACTTTTTTACTCTTTTTTATGCTACAAATACGTGATTTTACTTCTATAGCCTATATTTCTGGTGAATTTGTTAGTATTTTTGTCTTACATTTCTGTCGAGTAGATATTTTTTGTATTAATCTTTTGCTGTTTTTAGTAGCGGTCTCATTTCTCTTAATGAACGTAACGCCTCTTATTTGTCTGAATATTTAAATTTTCACAAACATTGTCTTCTGTATCATAACATGTTATAACTGATAACACTTTCATTGTTACAACCACTTCTAGTTGTTTTCAATACATATATATTCACCATATATACTTATAAATATTATTTAATATTAACACTTGCCCTATTCAGTAGCTTAATAAAAGTGTATTTGAATGTAGCAAAACTTATTTTTAGATGAGTCCTATAACACGAGTTGAAATAATTTTTCGACGGAGACTGATAATTACTAATGTATATTTTTTATAATCAAGTTTGCACTAATAAGTATGTAAGAGACAATATCTTGCAGTTTATGTGTACATAAATGATATATCACATAAGGCTTTCAAAAGCAGTAATAATAATTTATTTCTCCCACAGATTTCGCTACTACTATCTGTTTCAATCGACATTCCGTTATAACTAACACCATTCTTCTCTAGTGTGTAACTGACAGAAGTGGTTGAAATCTTGGTACTTATGATGGTATTCACTCAACACAACGTCTAAAATCGGGACATAAGACCCGATCATTATCTTAGAAACGTCTCTCATGTCGAATATAAGATGTCGGAATATAAGACGTCTTTAAAGTCGAAATATAAGATGTCTTATGTTTCGATTTTAAATATTGTATTATGTAGATATTTGAGCATATTCCCGTGGAAGTGGTTTCAGTAAAAAAATTGCTGTAACAATGAACATAAATTATTATATTCTATTGTGGATTTTTTAAGCGTGATTGCATGTTTTAAATGTGTATGATTTTGTTTTTCGAATTATACAGTTTCTGTATACATATCGGAAAAAGAATTCGTTTTACACTTCTACGGGAGTATTTGGTATTGCTATGTATAGGGTAAAACGTCCAAGAGCCGTTTAGTAGCCGTTCAGTAATATTCGACTTGTTTTCGGTACTTTTGCACGGATTTTAGCAAATATTAATCCTAAAACCTTAAACATGGATAAAATTAACTCCGGCCATTTTTTTTTCAAACGTTGCCGTTCTTAAAAACATGCGTTTTGTTTTTTTTTATTATAATATTTTTCAACTTTATTGAATCACAAAAATATTAATAGAATCACTTCCTCGACGATTTCTATCTTTTGATTAAAAAAATAAACATTAAATTTCCATGATTTTTCTAGACTTATGAACAGAAAAGATGCACTCGGTAAAATTTAATCAACTTTTTAATATTTAGGGTTTTGAAAGGTTAAGATATATGTGCGTTTATTAATTATTTGATTAATTATTTAATTTTGAATTTACACTCACATACCTATTCAACACACACAAACACACACACTCACCTTAATATTTAATAAAATCCGCGTCGAGAAGAGGTAAAGTATCGGCTCCGGACGTTTTAACCTTACATTTCATAATCTCCATTTAGATAAGCCGATTGCGTATAATCGCGTTAATCTACCGTAAGACGTATAAAAGTGGATATGCATATGGAGCAGGTGTTTTGGTTGCGGTGAGTGCGCATCGCGTACGTCGATGTAAGCCTCGTAATTGAAGCGTTTGACACGGTAACTGTGTCGCTTCACGAATTGTAATCCCACGTTAGTGCATGGACAATAGTTTCCGCTGCAACGGGCAAACTGATATATTTTCCACATATTATGTACTTTACACATTGTTATAACATTACATTGTTCAGTAGCTGTTTCTCTGTGAATATGTTTCGCATTGTGACCGCACGCGGGTCACATTTAAATCCAAGCTTCCTCGCTGTATTCGCACCCCAAAAAGATATAATCTCATTCTCAGCGGAATCCTCTGAATTCTAGAGAATTTTACTGTTGCATATAGCTTGGACAGGATTCTTCTAAAACTGAAAGGAAAATATTCTTAAAGTTAGAAGAATTTCATTTTTATCTATAGTACAAGTATTGTTTATCGCGTGTTTTGTTTCGCGCATAAGAGGACACATTCTGCTTTGAGCAAATATATTCCTCTTAATTCAAAAGAGGAAAAAAGTTAGTATAATATCTTGTAGATTTCCGATTAATAGTCCATTTCATTAGAAGAAGAATACTCTTTCGGTAAAATTTTTAGCTTAAAAAAGCAAGAAATTGTAAGTAACTTTCTTTTCTCTTTCTTCCTTTCTTTTTCTCATCTTTTTCTTTCCATGGAAGTTATTTATTTAATAAAGATTTTAAATATTTATGTAAATATATTCCAAGAAAATAAATAATTTATTTTCAAAAATATTATAGTGAAAAGTCTGATCTAATATTTACGTGTCTATTCATTATTAATAATAAACTATTAATAATGACTCATGTTAACTAATAGGCAACTTATCCATTCTTTATATGAATGATCGGAAAAATTAAACATTGTTGCACTATAAAAAAGATCGATCGGAACAACTAGAATCGACTTGAGCGAACTTTCACTTATAATATTGTATGTGGCAAACTAATTGCTTTAATTCTTTCGGATAAAGTTCCGAAAAACCCAAACCTCTGATTAGGCTGATTTTTTCAGAAAAGCTTCTGCTTAGCTCCAAAATAAAAACCTTTAAAGGATTTTTGGCGACAAAAGTCTCATTTGTCCTCTACCCTCGCTTTAAAATAATTAGTACAATAAAATAAACAATCCTATAAAATAATTACTATTTAATAGGTTAGGTTAGAGTTAGTTTTTTGGGGAGGACGTGTAGGGAAGGAGGCGGAGCCCCTCCCTCGCGTATATACGTGTACTGTTTAACATATTTTCATATACACTGTGTGCAAAAATTATGTTCCATTAATAAACAAATGTTTTAATAACTTCTTAACAAATAGAGATTGCCATTTAAATATTGCTTTTTTAAATATTACTCAGGGACATGACAACATATGTTAAGATTATTGACGAGGTGTCTCTTAATACAAAGCTTGAGAGCAACCTTTTTACTGATGTATTAAATATCTATTTTTCAACATAACGGCAAAAGTATTGCATTTATGTTAATAATGCATATGAATTTTCTTGTAGAATGTTTTACAAGATTCATTTTTTGTCTGAGACATTTTTCTCCAAAATCAATATCTTTGAAGATACAGTGGGAAAACAGTCTAAACTTTGGATGCGGGTAGGGGACGCATAGGTTTTATCGTCAAAAATTCTTTAAGGGTTTTCATTTTGGAGCTAAGGAGAAGCTTTCTTGAAAGATTTAGTCCAATTGGAGGTTTAGGCTTTTCAGAACTGCACCCATTCTTTCAGCATAATTTTGATGTTCTTGTAATTTCTTATTTGTGTCAAACGAGTTAAGTATTCAGCAAAATTCAACCGTAGGGTTGAATAATATCCCAAAGAACTAAAAACTTTGGGTTGAACTATCCCAATAAGTAACGGTAACCAAGTTGTCAAAGTAGTAACAAATAAGAAATTCAATTGAGTCTTCAGAATTAAATAAGTTACATGTATTATCATAGAAAATAATAATATTTCATTAAATTTTTTCTGTAGATGTTTGTGTGTGTATGCGTGCGTGTGCGTGCGTGCGTGCGTGTTTGTGTGTGTGTGTATGTGTGTGTGATAGACTGTTGATTTAGATATTCTCTATATAATTTATTAAAAAGAATTAACGATTTCAATTTATTAATAAAAAACAACAGTTGATGATCGAAGGTGCCAAAAGTTAGAAAATTCCAAAAAAAAGTGGACTGTACAATCAAGTCCCAATTCATATTGGAACTTGCATGTTCGTAATCAGCGTGTTAAAAATTATAAAATAAGAGCCTCGGATTCAAAATATTTTCTGTATAAAGTGGGCCAAGTTTGGCTGCACACTCAACAAAAATTTAGTTCGTTTTACCCGATCATTTTTTCAGTGTACCTTTGTCGAAAATGATTTCTGACTCAACATTTTATGAGTTAATGATTAAATTATATAATTATATAATAATAATATAATCTTTTAAAATTATAAAAAAAATTAAGTATCTGATCACACAATCAGAGTTGTTTGCAAAATATTAGTTGCTAGGAATGCAAGATGTTGGTTGCTAGGAACATTTAGCTGGACCAACATCCGGCTTTGATCGGCTAGGCGTTTTTTGATTTGATTCTTACAAGCCACTTGATAATAAGATTTACATATAATTATTATAAGATAAAGAACGATCTTCGATTAACTTATAATAATAAACTTATAATAATTGAACTTATAATAACTAACTTATAATAATTGATGTTTTGTTGCAGACTGTATGTTTATTACTTCAGAGAGCGGGCCGTTCACTTACGTGTCGCAGTCCGATGACGAGGTCGTTTGCGGTATATACTTCTTAACTGATCCAGATCGCACGGTGGAGATACATTTTCACAGTTTCGACGTACCCTGCGATCATCGTGGACTTCTGGCGGTATGTTTTTTAATCCCCAATTATCATTGAACGTCAATCTTCGCTTTCTCGAATATTTTTTTTACTTTAGAGATCGACATTCGTCATGTGTGAAAGTGCAAAAAGTTCAATTAATGCAAATAAACTAATTGGATATTAGCTATTTATCCTAAAGATATTCTGATGACGTCCCTCCGCCCTAAAAGCGTCTTCAGAACGTATTTTAGAAAATTTGTATTGTTTGGGGTCCACTTGTGTGCAACGGGCATTAAGTGTAAAAGTGTGGATAATACAAACAACTCGAACAAACCTATTCTAGTGTTAACGAGTGTTTGTATCTTCGAGAAAGAGTCTCTCAGTGTGCTACGGACTGCTATGCGTACTCATCAACAACAACGAAATCCACTATCTAGAAGAAACCACGCCGACTTCGTGCCACTTAAACGAATTGTCACGGCGCATGCGACAATTTTGCGCGAAAATCGAATCGTGAAGTTATCCCCGACTCTCGCGCGTCCGCCTTGTTGCTATTAATGGAAAACCCCTGTAAGGTAAACTCGAAGTAAAATCCCACCACGGCGGTGTGTCACGTGTCGCGAATGCACAGAAGTCAACGTTGGGCAAGCGTCTAACAGCGCGGAGTGAATTTCGTGAACTCGTCGAGTGTGTCTGCGACATGCTGCGAATGTAACTTTCCTGTACCTCTTGTAGCAACAATGTTACGAATGTGACCTGAATTTCGTCAATTGTCAGCCCGATCCCCAGACGTATCGGCTCTATTTCTCATTCGATTCCTCGTACCATGTTCGCATTCTCATCGCGAATAAACGCAGAGCGAAAAATGGAACGATCGAGTAACGTAAATATCTAATTGATCGTTGTTTAAGCAGGTAATCGATGGCTGGGAAATGGACGGCGAAATATTCCCGAGCGAGGCCGATCATCCGTTACCGATGAAGGAGAGGGTGAACGAATTTTGCGGTAAGAGCAGATGGTACAAGAGGACTTTCACGAGTTCGCAGAACGCGGCGATTCTTCAGTATAGAATACCGATGCGGTATAAAGGTTTCGTCATAACCGCGAGATACCCGAAAAATCCGAGGCGTGAGTATAACGAAAATTGAACGTATACTCTTAAAGTAACATACACTCTTAAATGTACACTCTGAATCAGTGAAAATGTTTGAATCTGTAAAAGGAACGCTTGACAAAATCGATAAAAAATTTTAAAACCTCGAGCTATCAGTTCGTGTAAATATTTGCCTGAAATAAAAATTCTGCAGCTTATACATAGAGGAGACCGAGTCTAGAAGTTACACGGATTAGTTGGCACAAAGCTTATATCTCACATAATAAATGGAGGAGTTATTCTTATTAGCATATTCTATAGATTACTTGTTAATTATATATATGGAATAGTTAGGAATAATTAGTTAGGATATATGGAATAGCTTACAGAAAGGACAGAAATATCATATGTGTATTTAGCATTTTTTCAAAACTGGACACAGTTTTATTGATCTTTTGGTTTTGACATTTCTGGTCGCAATCTCTTTTTAGTTATAAGAAATGTTATGGATTCAACTAATTTTCCCTGCATTTAGTTAAGCATTCGGATTAGGTTGACTCAAATTAAGAAGAATTAGTTATCACGCGTTACGAGTCCATTACATTAGCTATGATGTGACTTATGCAAGAATATGGGAACATACGTAATAATGTATTATGTTATACATGTCACAATAATGAGTCTGTATAAGTCTGACGGCCCAAGACTATTATTATTAGAAGTTAAAGAAAATTATTATCTTCTTAGTTTAATACATGTTTATTGTACTTGATTAGAAAATATCATTAATTCTGATAAAACATTTAAAACTTTAAAACAAAGATAATTTGTCTTGCTTTCTTTAAAAGACATGTGACAACCAATCCTGGATATAAGATGGAGATGTAGCTTCATTTGCACAAGCTTACTTACAGCTTAATAATTTTTTTGCATATGTAAAGATATTTTTTTTACCTAAAAATTGCACCTATGTGAAAATATATAGAATATTAAAAAATATTTAATTCTATATGCATAGTCTCTCGAAGTATACAACTTGAATTGACTATATTTTAAGCTAACAAAACTCAGCGCTGATGTTGAAGCAAATATTTAACTTAAAGGATGATTGAGAATATTGTATTGAAGAGTTGATACATTCACACTAAAGTCAATTTTGACTTTAACTAATCTTTGTTACTCGCAGTGAACGCATTTTCCTGCTGATTCTTAGCATTTGCAGCAAAATTGTTAGCTCTTTTGCTAAGTGGGATATAGTTAATGATATGAATTAACTTCTTAGTGTGTGGAAATACGAGTCCGAGCAATTTTAAAGGTTGATTCTCGGTTGACGCCGGATACGACTATTGAATTTTTACCGTTTCTCTTTCTTTTTGCAGCCTGCAACGTCTTGTCGGTTAGCACGACGGACCCGTTCACGCTTCGCAATTATGGTAGACGAATTAACTGCACCCTCATGGCAGTGTATCCCGCCACTGTACAAGTAATTGCGCTTGGAGTCGGTGGTAGTAGCTCGCAGAGCGTTGTTCACACGACCGAAACCGGCACTTTACGCAAAGTACGTTGTAAAGCCACCCCCTCAGCCACGATCCGTGGCTGTTACGAGTCTCGTTTCGCGTCTTTGTACGTTTTATCTCTGCACATAATCTCGGGGAACCCGAGTGAACCATCTAACGTTAAATTCTAAAATCTCAGTTTTTATATTAGAGGAAAATGTATTAGAGGATAATGTATATAAGAAATAAATTACCGTACGGTTGGAAAGAATAGGTATATTGTTGTCAGCGAAATATTCCAACTTAATCCATGCAACTTATTTCTCACACATTTTTCTGCAATATAAAAAACAACAGAGGCATTTTAGAGTCTATCGTTAGATCGTTTACCATGTATACACTCGAAACGGTTTGAATATTTTTTCTAGTGAAGTTGCAGCATTCCGAGTTGTCATAATTGCGAGTAATTGCTGATCGATTGAAACAGTAATTGGTCAGTAACAAGAGACAACACTAAGCACTGCGCAAATCTGTTAGCAATTGCTGGCATTTCTCGGAGCGCTGCAACTTTATTGGAAAAAAAAGTATTCAAACTGTTTCGTTCTTGAGTTTACAAAGTGTCTGGATTAAAGTATCCGAGTGCTTGCGTACAGGTAAAATTCGTTAAACTGAAGAAAAAAATCTAGGATCATTTGTTGCATAAGGTGCTGCATTTACATACAGATCAATACGAAGGATTGTCTATATGTGTTTCGCTGGTAGGCGCGACTTTAATAAATACTGGCGAAATGTTCACTTGAAATGTAAACTTTATAGGAAAGAAAGCGCAAATAATCGAACGTTCTTCGATTGAATTGACTAAATTTGCTTATATCAACTAAATGGTCTTTCAATCAAGCAATCTTCAATTAAATTTGTTGAAATAAATTATCAATTAAACAGTTTTTAATTGTATTAGGTTGTCAATTAAACATAATTAATTAAAAAGCTAATTAAGAGTAGTTAAATCAATTAAAACAATTAAAGTAATTATAATAATTTAATAATTAAAAGTAATTACTTATAATCCTGCTCTTTAGACAGAGCTCGTCTCATTGCATCACACACACTTAATCGCTAAGTTTCTTTCATTAATTATCTCAGTAATTATTGTGGTAGTTTATAAAATAATAGAGAATTTTTTTATTCAGCTTAATGAATTCTATCTTTATGCGAATGCTCAGACATCGAAATCCAGACCGAAATCTGTATATCAGTCGACTGAAGTGGACAAGTAACAATCGATCTTTTCCTCACGTGTCCTTTTTTGTAAAAGTTTATACGTAAGATTCGAAGTATTACGAGATAATACGAATTTTGTATTTAAACTTTACTTCTCTTGCACAAATATTCGAAAACTCACGCGCTACCTCGCTATAAATTCGTCGGTGTGCGACATTTATTATGACGCGAACAATTTATTTTTAGTGTGACACAAGGAATCCGCAGGATCGATTGGAGATCGGAGGTAATCACGGCCTGGACACGACAAAACTCGACATAATCGATTCCATTTGTGGCATTGATTCCAAACCAGGTAATGAATCTTTCATATTAACGAGTCCAAGCCGCGAGACAGAACGATGATAATTGTAAATTTTCATCAGCTCTCTGTTATTTTTGCAACATGTTTAAATTACTAGACTGACTGACTGACTTGACTGACGCGTAAAATGCTATGCGATTCTAATGTAATTCGGGCAATTTATTTTCTGTAAAGTCAGGAATTTATTTCTTTCATTTCAGATGTAAAGGAGCTCGTGCCGTACGAAGTAACATCGGTGCGATTGATATCGAATGGTTACCACGATAACTCGGCGACGGTGATAATAAATCCTATCGTAAGCGACGATGTGCTGAATCCCGCTTCCGGTCTATGAAGTGATGATTGTTTCCAACATCTTCATCGTCCGCCGCGTTTGCTATTCGTCTACTCTCGACGTTTATTTTTCAACGAGCGGCCGCGTCGATATTAGGTTGCATAAGATACATTTATTCCTTCTCTTTCTCTTTTTCTCTGTCTTTCTCTCTCTCTCTCTCTCTCTCTTTTGTCATAGTTTAGGGCTTATACAAATACTTACACAGATAATTTACACGTTTCATGTAGCGTGCTAAATGACAGCGTAGAACGTGGATGACAAGGCGAGAATTTTATCAAGACTGATTATTGTAATTGCTTTCTTTCGTATCCTTCCACTCATCATACGTATATGCTAGTTATGTATTGCTTCGTATTGATTCGTGTTAGAGGAGATCGAGTAGGGTTGGCTCAAGCGTTATATTTGACTTGTACTTTGTTTTTGTATTTATCGTGAGATAAACAATGAAAACAAAATTGCAAAATGTTCCTTTTAGAATGTATATACTTTTCCCTGAGCTTCATTCAATCGAAATAATATCACGGTTAAAAAGTAAAAATAATAGATTTAAGAATTGCTGAATACATTTCCGAACATCTCGACATTTCGTGTTAATATTCACTATTTTGAGTAAATAATTTTAGTAACGTATTATTAGTTAAAATGAATTTTCTCGAGCAAGTGTATGATAGACTGTTTTGAGTAACAAAAGTAATTTTCTTTCATAAAATGATTGCAATGCATCATATGGACGGAAAAAATTGGGATTGCTAATGTAAAAAAAAAAAATACTATAATCTGGCAATATAGGAAAATGTTTCTATTCTTTTTTCAGAAGCAAGACACAGCAATAGTAAATCTTACTCATTACAAAACAGCTCAAAACAATAAAATATTTTTTAAGATGCAAATAATTTTTAAGATGTTGTACGTATTTTATATGTGGTATTCTTACTTTTACGCAAATTGCTAACCAACTTGATCCAGCACCAGGATTAGATGGCCACATTACAATATATTTGTATTTTGTTTACTGCAGAACAAAATATACGACTTATAGGATCGTTGCTGGCCTAAAAATATAGAGAAAGTTTGTCTCTATTATGTTTTTATAGTCAAGCACAACAATTAGTTTAAAAAGTTATAGTTTTGAAATGTGTGTAGCATTTTGCCCCGGTCTCCCCTTCTCATGAATAATGAATCGTTATATTGCAACAGCAAAACGATAGATTTTACTTGATTATTACGATTATTTGACTGTACACATGCGCAAAGTTTATTTACGGCTAATTAAGCTATCTATTTTCACATTTTGCCTGTATTGTTTCTAAAGTTTTAATTTCGCTGTGATAGATGAGAAATATTTCTGGAAATGTTCTCGCTCAAACGAACAGAAATTTGCGAAATATCTCGTCATTATTAACTACGTGACTGTTATGAACTGAATATTAATTTCATAAAAATTTCATAATTTCTCTCTCCACGTATAGAATTCGAATTTAATACAATTTTTTATATTTAATGATACATACCATGATGGTTATATATTATGTATTATAACAAATGAATGCGCGTGTTGAATAAGAGAAATGTGAGGTGTTAGAAAAAGCTTCATATGTGTATTTTTATTTATTACAAATACGATATTTAAGAACAATTAAAGGTAGATGTTTATTACATAATGAATATTTTATGCTGTTTTTAGTTAAGAATCATAATATCATGTACGATATGTATTATAATAGCTTGATGTTGAAAAATACATTTATGTTAATTGATTACGTGTTCGCGAATTATTGATTTATTTTAATTTAACATAAACATCAATAAAAGAAATGATGTATAAAACAATCTATTGAATCAAATTTTAAAAATGCTCTAACCTAACCTTATATTAAATTCTAACTGCATATGTAGAACCGGAAAATGTTCAGAAGATATCGCAAAAGTAGATTGTTTATATTCTCAACATATTCCAGATATAAACTATGCCACGCAAAAAATGTACTAATCGAATATTTGCAATCGTAAAAAAATTTTGATATGCATTTAAAAAATTATTATCAATCTCTAAAACTGTTTTTTCGAAATAGCATTTCTTTTTATTGACAAAATAAAATAAAATATCTCAAGAATAAATCATTCGTGTTTTTTACTTGCGTCTTACGTATTTCGAAAGAAAAAGAAAAAGAATAAAGAGAGTAGAGCGAAGCGGACAGGGGACTTCTTCCTGATGCACTTGAACGTGCTGTCTTGCATTCGAAATTCGAATCGAGTTCAATTTTCGTGTATATAAGAGACTGTGTTCCGTATAATCGTTCCTGCGGCGAGTCACCTCCAATTGCAATAAATGTCTTAAGAAAAATTGATTCCTTATTTATATCCTGCTAACCACATTTCAGGAAAAAAGATAACCTTATGCTATCTTGGGAATAACAACATGTGACACAGAGGCTACATTCCGATATTTAAGGCCAATATTGAAAATCTATAATGCACGTAACATGAACTGTAGATTTTCAGTACTAGCAGTGAATATCGAAACACACTTAGAGTTTCATGCTGAAGAAAAAGCATGACACTTACTATCATCAATTGATATTCATAATCCTTAGAAGATCCTAAGAAATATGACATTTTTCTTATAAGCTGCCAGCTTAGACATGTCTACACCGCTTACCGCTCTTACTGCTTCCTGTGTGTCTATTCATTTATTTTGTTTAATTAATTATTTAATAATTTACCATTTGCAAAATGATAAGTGACTTCCCTGTTCAGTTTGACCTATTACATCTGCACACGAGAAATGTCTCCTGAATTTTCAGACACACAGAAAAGAAATTTAATTTCTTCAAACTAATTATTCTAAACAATTTTACACACTTGTATTGGAATTATTCTAAACAATTTTATACACTTGTATTGAATTTTCAAGCCGTTTTAATAATATTATTGTAATAAATATAAAAAATAGATTGGTTTTTCGAATTATAAATATTTTTATATAGATTATTTTTATTAATATCTTTCATTTTGTATTTTTTAGAAATATTTTTATATAGTTTATTGTTTAAATAATAGATTTTTTAATAAAAAACTTATTTAATTTATATAATTTTTTTTATATAATTTATATAAAAAAAATTATATTATTCTATAATCTATAATTCTATAATTATATAATTATATAATCTTTTATATAATTTTTTTTTTCTTAAAACTTACTGGCGATAATAAACAAGTACATCAAGAAGTACAAAAGTACAAGCACAAAAGCACCCAAGAACGGCATACGAAAATATATACAAATTATATAAAATTATATATGGAAAAAAATAATTCTGTTACTGTTATTGAATTTGTTTTATTTGAGAACTAGATAAAAAATTCGATTGTAGCAACAGGAAGATTCCTGTAGGATGTTTAGCCATTCTTCTTAGCTATCACAACTGAGTTTTAATACAGCTGAATGTTCTAACGAATATTTTTATTTACACTCACATAGAGAGAGAGAGAGAGAGAGAGAGAGAGGGAGAGTGGGAGAGTTACATGAACTGACAATTTTTCCGTGTAATATTTATGACGCCATCCTTAATTATTTATATATTTTTATTATATTTACTGAGGTAAATTTGTCATATTCAAACTTATATTTTAAAGCCGTATTTCTCTCGCGTAACATTATACAGAGTATCCGGTACTTACAGAGTATTTTATATTTATTACAATAATATTAAAACGGTGTGGAAATTTAATACAAGTGTGTAAAATTGTTTAAAATTAATTTAAAGAAAGTAAAGTTTGATAGAAAATTACATGCAAATTACAATAATACATTTTTTTATACGTCTGATATTTTTATATCGATCTTACAGAGTAAGATCACGGTGTACATGTAGGTCAAACTAAACAAAAAATTTTTTTATCATTTTGCGAAAAACGACGTGAGATTATAAGATATTAATTAAAGAAAATTATATCGTGTCATACGATAGATGAGTTATGATGGTGATGTTTGCCGCTATATGCTTGTATATTAGATCAAACTGAACAAAAAGGTCCTCTACCATTTCCTAAATGACTAAATAAATGTTTAGTTATTAATAAAAAAAGATTTTGATGTGCAGTTGTGCGCGATAATGTACCATGCAACGTCGTCATCACAGCTTATCTACACTATAAAAACTGATGTGTTAAATTTAACACATCTCATGTGTTCCAAATCATCCACTTTCACTTATATGTAAATTTAACACAAAACAAATGTGTTAAAAAGTAACACGCATAATATGGAAAAAATTAACACAAAAACTTAACACTTAAATACCGCTAAGAATCACAGGTTTTATTAAATTGACATATTTAATATGTTAGACATAGATTATGTCAATTTAACATTTTCATTTTATCAAAACCATAGATTAATACTTCTCTCAAATTTTAAAGTAACGTTTTATTTTAGTTAATTTAACCCGACGGTATTAAATTCTTGTGTTAACTTTTTACATATTGTGCGTATTACTTTTTACCACATTTGTTTTGTGTTAAATTTATACATAAATGAAAGTGGATGATTTGGGATACATGAAATGTTAAATTTAAACATCAGTTTTTACAGTGTACCGTATGGCGCGCGTTCATTTACGAACCTTTTTTGATTAATAACTCAAAATTTTACATGATTGTTTGCAAAATGATGGAAGAATTGTTTATTCAGTTTGACCTAATTTACCTGTACACCGTGGCTCCTCCGTGAGTTACTGGACACTCTGCCGTTCTTGGGTGCTTTTGTGCTTGTACTTTTGTACTTCTTGATGTACTTGTTTATTATCGCCAGTAAGTTTTAAGAAAAAAAAAATTATATAAAAGATTATATAATTATATAATTATAGAATTATAGATTATAGAATTATATAATTTTTTTTATATAAATTATATAAAAAAAATTATATAAATTAAATAAGTTTTTTATTAAAAAATCTATTATTTAAACAATAAACTATATAAAAATATTTCTAAAAAATACAAAATGAAAGATATTAATAAAAATAATCTATATAAAAATATTTATAATTCGAAAAACCAATCTATTTTTTATATTTTTTACAATAATATTATTAAAACGGCTTGAAAATTCAATACAAGTGTATAAAATTGTTTAGAATAATTCCAATACAAGTGTGTAAAATTGTTTAGAATAATTAGTTTGAAGAAATTAAATTTCGATAGACAATTACATGCGAATTACGATAATAAATTTCTTCATACTTCTGATGTTTCCATGGTCTAAAAGATTTAAAATTATTTGGTCCATTATATATAGGATTTACATTTACAATTGTTCGCATTAGATTTATATTACATTCCGTTATCTGTTGCGATTTGTTGGTTAGAAGATATGAACACTTCATAAACTGTGTACACTTCATCCCAATACGGTTTTGTATTCTAAGAAAATTTTAAAATATGCTTCAAATATTATAATTACATTTGGTTGTTGAAACAACCGAACTGCTCATGTACGCGTTATAAAGCAGAGGATAACATTTTAATATAAGCTGCTGCTTGTGATATCTGCATTTGTAACAAACACGAATCTCTTTACATTCAGGCTTTAAATCTGTACATCCTATCAATACAATCGTCAGCTGCTTTATGTGAGTTAAACAATTCAGTAAGAGTAATTCCTAAGCTGGCGCATATACGTATTCAATAATAAATCCTGTGATTATGTGAACAACATATTGAAGTCCCACCATGTCTGGAAGATCCAATAAATTCGCTTTCTTCATTCCGTCATACAGTGTCAACGGTCCTGATACGCAATCGGAATATAAATATTCCAAACTATCTAAATAGTCCAAGATTTAAGTCCCCTATGAAGAGGATTGCGCACACAATTTATAATAAAACTATTCATATTATCGATATGTTTCAATGACTCAAGAGATGAAATGTTTATTAGAGAAAATTTCTCAAACGAGAGTTGTATGATGTTTAAGTTAATGTATAACACCAACGTCTGGCATTTTGATGCATGACGGCTTTGAAATTCTACTGCATGATCATTACAAAAGTTAACGGAATAACATATTTGGCATGGACGGAGATTAATCTGTTTGTGACAAATAAGACACGTCTTGGCGAAAAAGAACATCTGTTTTTCATACAGTGTTAGGTCACGTCCAAGTAGTATCATGATTCTAATCAAAAACTTATATTGTGACTCTAGCCATATGTTCGTAGTTGTACTAAGAGAAAGCCATTCCTCACCCTTGCTTTTTCTTACGTATTCTGATATGCAGTTACATAATTTCATGCGTTCTGGATAATGTTTTTGTTTGTGTTCATCGCTGCAGTAAGAGATCATATGGCATTTATCGCAAGATATCAAATTGCCATTATTTGTCCTCTTGCAAATGTGACAAATGTTTGAATGAAAGTAATCATTATAATTCGTAAGATTTTCTAACCAACAATAATCCACCACGTGTTGTATATCTTTTATGGGAATGTTCATATCGATGTATTTCTTTACCTGAATATAATGAATATATTTCGTAAAGTCTTTATGTAGAAAAGTAATACGTTTATGACATACCTCAGCAGAAGTAAAATAATTCTATTTGAACAGTTCAAATGTAATGCGTAACGGCTTGAAGGACACTGAGAAGCTATTTATACATTTTCCTGCGTACCTTAAGTATTGTCGACAAACTGAATTATATTCGAAAATATAATGACCTCTGTGTGTGTGTGTGTGTGTGTGTGTGTGTGTGTAGATACACGTGTGTGAGTGCGCGTGTATATACGTGTGCGCACGCGTGTATGTGCGTAAATAAGTTACTAAGTAGAACATCTCGCCTATAAACGCATATGAAATTAATGAATTATTTATGAAGACTTAATTTTACTGGATTCACATATATCGGTGAGAAATCAGATCCAAATCAGTCAAAATCAAATCAGAATTATGTGGAAATTAACGATCGTTTCGATATTTCTAACAAAGAAATGGACAGAATTGTCTTGTTACTATCGTGGAGGAGAACGCAACCTATTGACTGCTTAATAATAAGTCTCGTCGTACATGAAGGCTGATGAGCTGGTCAGCGGCTGGAAGAGTCGTTTTACACGGCGCAGCAACATATGGTGAGCGGTCCGACTTTGGGTCAGAGAACCGAATCTCTTTACTCGAGATTGAATCTCGAGTGATAAAGGAAAGAAGGGTTTAGATTAGGAATGATAACTCGATTATGAGATGGAAATATCAATAAGTCTTAGATACGCGACATAAATAAATATATATATTTTTATTATCTACTCAAATTGTGGTATCATTTACAAGATATTGTGACAATTTTGGTCCAATGTAACAACGCAGGTTTAGTGTTGATATGAAAATAAGCTGCGATGTATAGATACATATGTGTATGTATGTATGAGTGAAAAGGTTAAATTTCTCTAACTATGGAGGAGTAGGAGATGAGGGAGATATGGACCTAGTAGGTATGTCTTGATCGATTACAGGAGGCAAGAGGTGAAAAGGGAAGGGTGGCAAGTTGTCAGTACTGAGATATTGCCTCAAAGAGTTCTGTATGAACCTGTGGCGCCAATTGCGATGGCGGTGCAGCGTTGTGCAAAATAGTGAGTCGAGATGTGAGAAGACAGTGTTTAGATTGACATATTGACGTTCCACTTGGTGACCCACTGAAATAATAAGACAAGAGTGTGGATTTTGAGAGATAAAATCAAATGTTGGACTCACCGAAATTATCGAGAATAAATGACTCAAAGCGCGGTGAAAGAGATAGTAAAAATTAAGCGAGCGACTTACTTCCGAAGTTTTAGCTGGTATTTGATAGCCTTTACGAATGATCACAGGTATCTTGGCTTCTGAGCGTGTCCTCGCTGATTTTTGCTCCTATCAGTATCTTCTCGGTTCACGGCTAGAGCGATGTTCACCGGAATCTTTTCTAATCACGCCATGGAAGACAATGGTTGCAAGAATAAAAGGTTGAGTAAAATACGTGAACGTAATGGCTTCGGTACAAAAATGTAGAAAAACAAGTGTTGTATCCGGGTCATACGGGTCGAGATTTTTATAGGAAGCAGTTAGGTTTGGAAATTTCGAGGATAGCGATTATCGGATTCGTTGGAAATGACGTGAAGGTGATGGCTTGGATTGCAGGAAATTCTGGAGTCATGGAAAATTCGAAAATGTTCGATTAGGTTGCATGATAGATGACAATTGATGATTCATGAACGTGCGACCAATGTGAGTGACGTGTTTCATGACTATCTTTATATAGATGTTCTCGTAAGGTCATCAAAGTTTACTTAACTATTTCAAAATTTTGTTGAATGAGTGATTAATCTTACACCATGCATTTCGAGTGAAGGTGCGTGTAGGATGTAATAGTCTTAATAACTCAATATTTTTACATAGTTGTTTGCTAAATGATAGAGAGATTTTTGTGTTCAGTTTGAGTCTAAGCTATATACACAAGAGGATTTCCATCTGCCATCAGAATACCTATACAGGGTACCTAAAATAACTTTCGAAGCTCTTATAGAGGCATAGTAAGGATTAAGGTGAACATAAAAATCCTATACGATTTTGCGATATTCGTAATAATTATCGCAATATTAATTAAAGAAGATTTGTGAATAATCATGCAAGATATGGTAAAACTCAACAAAAAGATCCTTTATTTTGTTCCTAATAATTTTGCAAATTTTTAGTTATTAATTAGATAATATTAACATATTATCGCGAGCAAATATCCGTTAATCTTTTTTAATTAATAATTAAAAATGTACAAAGTTATTAGAAAAATGGTAGAGGATTTTTTTGTTTAGTTTGACTTAATGTACAAGTATACATTGAAAGAAAAATATAGTAATATAAAAAAAATATTATTTGAATTAAAAAAAACAATTTGTTTCAATACGTTTTATTAAATATTTATTTCAATGTAATATTAAATATATTTAAATATAATATGTATGCATTATAAAAACAAAAATAAATTTTTGTTAAAAGTAACCAATTTTTTATGTAAAGTAAATAAATATTTACTTATTTCAATATCTTTTCATATTTAATTTAACAAATTTTAGGTTTTAATTTAAAGAAATTTTTCCAAAAATCCAAATATTGTAATTTTAATAATAATAATTTTAATTTTAATAAAAATAATTTGTTTAAAAAATAAAATATTTTTTAAGCAAAACAAGTATTTTTTTAAAGAAAAAATTATTTTCTTATCTCAAATAACAAGTATTTTAGACTAATGACATACTCAAAATAGCACAATGAATTCCTAAAGTATTCCTAAGAATATATGTTTGCTGATTTTACTTGAAAATTTTAGATTACTTGGAGAACTAAGGTAAATTTATATAACACAGAAAATATTATTGCATTCTGAACATTTAGGATATGTGTCAAAATTTCCAATTTAAATAACACAATTGTCTAATATACATTTTAGAAACATCCTAAAAACATTTAAAACAGATAGCATATTGTTTAAATGTCTTTAAGATTTTTCTCTAAGAATTCTCTACGAATTACATATATGACTATATGTGAATTATATATATTATATATGAATTTTTTGTTTTTATATTGTCATATATGTTTTTATATAATCATATATGTTCATACGAAAAAAATTATGTTAAATGAAAAAGAAAAGAGGTAATATATTTCATTCAACTAAACATTAGGATATCATGCTGTTAAATGTATAAGCATTTCGAATGTATTTGTATATCTTTTTTATTGTGGACACGTATAATTATGTATGATTATATATATAATATGTACATACATATATATATATTATTATATAATTATGTATGATTATACATATGATTAGCCATATAAGGACAAAATTCATATATGATCTTATGTTTCCTGATATCTTTTAAATATTTATAATATATAAAATATGAAAGCTATGTATTATAAGTGACGAGAATTTAAATAAAATATTATTGAAGATAGGTAGTGCGTTATGTGCGAAAACAGTCGGTAAAGTCAATGCGCTTCTATTAACATTAGCCCCGCTAAAAAACGCGAAATTTTTTCAAAATAATTTATAATTTTATACAAATTTTAACAATTTTTGTAAGTATTTTGTTGATAATGATGCAGTTAATTTATATTTCTTTTAGTTTATTTTGAATTGCATGTCGGTCACGACGAGAATGACTGTCGAGTGGTGCACTCTATAGCAAACTAATGTACAGACAAAAATTATCAACAAACGATAAACAATATTAATAATGTTTAATAAACGAACAAGCTTGTAAAAATTCAAAAGTTTCTGCATAATTTTAATAGAAGAATATGAGTTTTGAAAATATTTGAATACAACATTCAATTGAACATTTAATCTTTTTAGTCAATTTAGATTTCACAAATTTTTGTGGCATAAAAAGATCAGTTATTTCATTTTTCTATTAAATATAGAAATTTGATCGTGTTATACTATTTACGCACATCCTAGTATATCTTAATATTTTCTCACAAAACTTTTTTCACAAAACAAAAGAGATACTTCGTACTTTAAAAATATCTTAAAAAGTACGTTCAGCACATTGTGCGGGAAAATCAATAGCCAACAATCAATGTCACTACAATTTCGATAAAATATTTACTATTCATCTGACATAGAGGCACCTGTGAGATCTAATTAATAAATTACCAATTATCCCAATGATATAGTATCTGGGACATACCTTTCAGATAAAGACGTGAAAAAGTCTGTAATGGTTGATACAAGAACACACACGATCGAGGATATGAACAATGTATTATCAAAAAAGGTTACAATACGTGTGGCGGTCCGTGTCATGTGTCGTGTAACGTGGCTAGGCTTAGAATAAAAAGCGTATACTAGAGTAGGTGTTGCCCTGTAATTCGGGGTCTGCTAGCGCTATCTATGTACTACTCATGACAGAGTCCAATAGCACTTGAGAAATGCAGATGTTCGATCGTTACCATAAAAATTGAATATTGAGAATCAATTTTTATATATTGGAAAAATTGAGTTAAAAAAATCAGTTTTACAAAAATCACATAATACGGCTAAACCATAAGATTAAAATATTTATAATAGCATTTTATCATACATATGTAATGTGATTATAAAAGGAAAACTATAAGTAGTCTTACCAAACCATAATAATTTTTATTTATTACTTTGATTATATAAATATAGTATATATAAATATATAAATATAAATAAATAAATATATTTATATATTTATTGTATACAAAAAAAAAATATATATATATATATATATATATACACACAGGGTATCCGGTAACTGATCGAGCAACCGCCGTGTATGGGTAGAACGGATCAAACAAATCATAAAAGTTATACACCATTTTGAAATTTTCTCAATATTTATTCCGTAATTAATTAAAATGTATAAACGAATGAGCTCACGAGAAGCGGTAGGATAGGCTCTGTGTGTAAAAGAAATAGCTTATCTCTTAGCAACGATCAGTAAACAGCTGATTTCGAAGCGGAGTAACAAAACAAATGATACGTATACGTTACTCCATAATTTGTTTTCGTAAAATTCGTCAGAGCTTATGAGTAGATTTACAAATCTATGCAATATCATATTTCGTATCATTTGTAAATATCGTAAATTATATGAAATTGTAGATATTTACGAGTAATTGTACGACATATGATATAGCATAGACATGTAAATCTACTCATTAGTTCTGACGAATTTACGAACAAGTTACGAGACTTACGATTCTGCTTAGAATTGCAGCATAAATCTTGGTTTAGATTATGAAAACTTTGCTATAAGAGAGAAAGAACGCATAATATTGCTATTATGTATTAATTTCAAAGTTTAAATTGTGATGGGTGGTTTTATAGAAAAAAAGTATTAAATGAGTTGTAACGGTTAAGGGGGTAAAAAGTATGGAGGGGTATAATGGTCTTTTTTGATATCTCATAACTGCTTAAAGATAACACTCTACTTTTTACTCGTGGGATGAGTAAGAATTTCGTTAATTTTTTTAAAATCCATATAAGGGTGTGGTGTAGGCCACTCAGAATGCCTACCTTCCCCTGTCTCTCGTACTGAGTACGAGAGATGAACGATCATCGATGACAGAAACCTCGAACGAGTCGAGATTTCGTGTCGTCCTCACGCTCAAGGAAGGAGGCTTTTGCTCATCATCGTGGTTGAATCATACTTCCGTGTTAGGGAAGAAGTGCAAGATTAGCTACTACAGAAGTGATCCTGTGAAGCATGATCTTAATTTTCGAGCGCTTACGCACCCCTATATATAGTAAAGTAAAGAGATTTTAACTGCGAGAGAGGAGCATTCGTGTAGCCACCTAGCGACTTACGAGATTGTCATTGTCCAGAATTAGTAAAGATTACGCTCTATGCACAGGGAGCGGTGCACTTGGACACGGTGCATTTGGACACAGCCAATCACAGCATCGTGTGATTAGAGACATTTGTAGGGTCCCTTGGAACAGCGACTTGTGATTGGACTGTGTCCAATTGCCCCGTGTCCAACTGATATACACCCCTATGCACAACGGTTGCGTTCAGGGGAAAAAGCAGTTTTGCAATTGTTGTAAGAATTTCTGCTGAATACTATCTAGCGGTTTACGCTTTTCCAACATGTTTACTAAGCGGTCGCCATTTTTCCTACAAACTAAAAGTACATTAGTAAGCGTAACGTGTTGTGCTGTTTAACTTAATTCTAAAATATTGTGCTGCAACCTGTAAAAATGGACGAAATAAATGTGAATTTTTACAGGTTGCAGCACAATATTGTAACAAATCACACGTATACGTTACTCCGCCTCGAAATCAGCTGTTTACTCATTGTTGCTAAGAGGTAAGCAACGATCTTCTTTTACACACGTTTCTTTTCAACGTTCTTTTACATACAAAGTTTTACCTGTACACGGTTGCTCGATCAGAACACCCTATATATGTTTTATACAATAACTATTCTCTCTCCTTCTTTCTCCCTCTCTCTCTTTCTGTCTTTCCTTCTCTGTGTGTGTGTGTGTGTGTGTGTGTGTTTGTGATGTGTGAGTGCGTACATGTGTACGTGTATTTAGCAATCAAATATTTGCATAACTTAAAAAATAGTGCAGACTTCTATAAAATTAAACTAATAAATTACCTATAGAAAATAATGTCATTGAACTATAAAATAAATTGGAATAAGCACTAGTTTGAACTAACCGAGCAGGCTTCTGAGACAATGCTATCGTCCTTTCCATCTTAACATGTTAGGTCTTATTTCTAGCTTAAAGAGATTTTCTGGTCTTGAGAGGCAAATATTTAAAGGTATTCTCAGGTATTTAAAGGTATGTGTGTATATTTTCAGGAATTTTTTTATGAATAAAGTGCAGATATAATTTACAAGTGATATTCTATAAAAATATATTAAAATATGTTAAAAATATGTGCCTATATTAAAAGTAGATCGCAAAAAATAATTTATATTACATATGTTGTTTTCTAATGGGTAGTTTAATATAGCGCTAACATTAGGATTGCAACACAAACACAATCAATCGGTAATAATCCTAAAATTTTGGTTCGAAAAAAAATTCTGTGCAATTTTCTTGATGTGTGAACTTGTGATTTTCACCTGTATAATTAATATCGCGTTCATAACGTCAATATAAGAACAGTTTGAAAAGAAAAAAGTTCCAATTTTACCTTAGTTTTACTTTATTTATTTAATTTACTTATTTATTTTTTCCTTATTTATGCCCCAAAATTTCTAAGACTTAAAGTTTCAAGTAATTTCAAGAAGTATAAAAAATATCAATTTTTAAACTTTCAAGATCAGAAAACTCCCTGAGTAGTATGTAAAAAAATAGACACGGCAGTATTATTTAGGTCGTATCTCTTTCGACTCGTGCGAGGTAATCGGGTAGAGACAACAATAGTGTTTGTTCACAATATAGTTCAATGCTGTTACTACATTATCTATTACTGACAAATAAAAAATAAATTTTTTTTAAGAATCGACTTGCGTCAACATCGAATAGAAGTTAATCGAATAGAAGATAATCGATTAAAAGTAATCAATTTCTGTTAAGAGAAAATAAATTTTCTTAACACTTAGGCCATGAGTACACAGAAAAACGTAAGCAATAAGCTTTCATGGTCTATGAGACTCTAGTTTTGAGCTATCATTAAAAGGAAAGAATAAAGGAAGGTAAACAGTAAGTAATTTGACCAATTACAGGTTACTCTCTTTAAAATCTAAGAACAATCGATTCTGATTAGTCAATTTTTTTATTGCTGAAGTCTTAGACTCGTGACAGAAAAACGTGAGCAATAAAAAATTGACCAATTATAATCGATTATTCTTAAACCAAGGAAAATAAAGTTGGAAGTACACATAAAACGTAAAGCAGTAAAACTTAAACAATAAGCGAATTGACTAACCATAGTCGAATATTCTTCTCAGGCCCGATTCCACCAACGTCGATTGGGCCTCGATCTGAATTTAAATCAGTGGGTGTTTACGACAATTAGAGTTAGAGTTAGTTCCACTAGGGCCGAAAATTATGATAGGCACGACCACCTAGTACTTTTTGTAGTTTATAACAACTTTTTACTTCTAACTCAATGTCCTACCATAGGAACAAGCTGGAGTAAGAAGTAAATAACGCGTATTCGACATCAGGTAACAATTTCGTAAAATCTCACGATTATATCTATAACTAGATAATAGATAATAGGGAGAATATACTAGATAATAGGGAGAATATACTTTTGCCTTTTTTTTATAATTTTCATATTTCTATCAATATTCAATTTTCCTTCTTTAATGTGTATATCATGTTCCTTTGATGCCTGCAATACCTCAGTTGTGCTGCTTATATTTTTTTTCAGAAAAAATCTAAATATTGTCGGGATCGCATCAGATTTTAATTTTCGTTTGCCATCGCATCTCTAAATGTCCCCATATGTCTGGAGAAAAATGCATCTGTATGATAAAAAATATATATTTCTATATACAGTTTATACAAATTTATATATATATATATATATATATATATATATAATATACATTGTATAGTAACAGAATCAAACTATATTTTTTTAGTGTGTGGTAACATTGTTTGTATTTTATTGTATTTTATTTTTTATTGTATGTATATATATGTATATATATTGTATGTATATATATATTGTATGTATATATATTATATGTATATATATTGTATGTATATATATATATATATATATATATATATATATATATATATATATATATATATTTGTAGATTTTTACGAAATTCAGTAAAAATCTACAAATATATACATACAGTCAAAATCTACAAATACATACAATAAAAAATAATAAAATACAAACAATGTTACCACACGCTAAAAAAAATATGGATATAATCGTGAGGTTTTATGAAATTATTATCTGATTTCGAATGCGCGTTCTTTACTTCTTATGGCTCTCGCAGACCAGCGCGATTTAGACGCGACACGCGATATGCGATGCGCGATATCCAATGAGCGTACAGCTTTTCCGGAATACCAATACGCTCATTGGATATCGCTCGTCGCATATCGTGTGTCGTGTCGCGCATCGCACTGGTCTGCGAGAGCCATAACTCCAGCTAGTTCCTATGGTAAGACTAGAGACCTTGTAATAAGAGTCTGGCCAACTTGACAGTTCTGGCAAAATTCTGCAAGAGAGAAAGATATACATATATATACCCTACTGAAAAATTTCTATTGAGATCACAATTGAATTCCCAATTGAATTCTCAATTAAATTCTCAATTGAATTCTCAGTTGAGGTTTCCGCAAAATTTCGCATGTAAGATCTCAATTGAGATATTTGTATCTGATGGAAATAATTCATTGAAAATATAATGAACTTTTGCTG